TTTCTTTCTACTGTTCTCCTTTGGTGGCTTTAATAAAGCAAATTTATGTGACAAGCACACTTATTTCAACATGCCGTTAACAAGCAACATAAATCAAAAACAAGCGAAAACATCTAGGTACCCAGAAGCCGCCGAATCATTAGCAAAGGCGCCCTCCCTCAGGAGACCACCTTGTGCTTATGAAATCAGCAGCTCGGGTGGCCCAGCGTGGGCTGTGGGCGCCCCCTTCAGGATGCAGGGTTCACTACACATCTCTGTCCTCTGCATCAACTAACCAAAGCCGGCGATCTTTTTTGCTAAGACCCCATTTGAGGAACTGCGTAGGAAAACACCTGGTGTCTAACGATATGAGCAGCAAGCGTACGTAACATTGCATTACAGTGAACATTAAAATGACACGCACAGGATAAAGGGGAATGCTTTCTTGCAAGACAGAATATTATAAATCCACTTCTTCCCTTGATTAAATAATGCTTTTCCACAAGGCTAACTTTGTGAAAAAATCACCGCGGTCTGTGGTAAACAAATCAAACCTGGAGGCAGCCTGTGAGGGCCTGGCCTTCCCTGTCTATGCAGCCTGGATTGCTGTCTCTCTTCTACAGTCCTCAACCTTAATGGCTTCACTCTGGCCTCCTCCCCGGGTGCCTAAGTTTGCTTTGCCTCTGCTTCAGTCTTGGCTCTCAGGGACGGAGGCCTCACCCACTCTTCTCTCGTTGGATGCCACGCCTCAGTCTTCTCTCACGCAGGATCTCTATGTTCTGACGTCTGCGATGTCTTACTCTCGCCTCTCGTACGATATCCTAAGTCAGCCTTTCTGAGACTGAGGATACATCATTTTGTATCTCCTTCTCCCTGGACTGAGTTTTCCCCAAAGAAGGACCTAGCCCTGTACAGCCTCGACTCTCAGTGCCTGGCTTCCGAGGAGAAACAGCTCAGAGTGAATTTGTGAGCATACAGAAACAGTTCTCTTCAAGCCCGTCAACTCCTGCTAAACAAACCGCTCTCAACTTAGAGTCAAAGGGTTGCTTCAAGAGAATGAAAGGAGAAAAACGGGGCACCTTCCACACTTAGAAAGTCTTATTTCTGCTGACATGTGTCTGCAGCCCTTCATTCTTTAGCCACTTGAGATCCTGTCCAATAAGTTCAAAGCACACACAAGGGATGCTGTCCCTGACTTCGTCCAGGCCGCAGCTGTTGCTGAAAGCAGCCTTCCCAGTGTCCCTCGAGCCACTGCCTAGTCCCACTAGCGCCCATTCAGTGTGGGAGGCGGCTGCCTTCCGCTTAGCTCATCAGCGTTCAATGCGAATCTACTCTGTGTTGAGCTGTAGGGAGACGCTCTCCAAAATACTAGAGTATCATTCCTCAAAAATGACAGAGCCGTTTAAAACAAAGAGAAAAAGTGTCACACCTCAGGCCAGTCTCAGGACGCACATGGACTCAATGCAATATGGCGATTTTACATATGGGGGATTTCCTGGAGCAGAAATGAATGCTGGGTAATAGCTAAGCCAACCTGAATGAAGAATAGGCTCTAACTAATGGTAACACATCAACATCAGTCCATTAACTCTGCGGTCATGCTATTCTGTCAGGCAATGATAGCAGAGAGGAGTTGGGGGGCTCAAGGGGCCCTCTCCACCACCCTTGTGACCCCCCTTATTCCTTTTTAAAAATGTACCAATGCCTCAAGAGTATAACAGAGGTGCAAAAAGCGGTGGAGGACGACGGTGCAGCACTGGACACAGGTGTGCCGGATGCACCAGGGTTCAGTGTGCAGGGTGGGGAGCTGTAGGAGGTGACCGTGGTGAGCGTTCTCCATCTCTAAGGATCTGCATGGAGAGGCTAAAAATACGGTGGCACATTAGATGTCCCAGATGAGGTCATCTGCATATGTTCCGGTTGGAACAAAGAGCCCAACCGAATACCTTCCTTACACTAAGCAGGCCGAGAATAGAGAAAGCCGGTGTTGTGACCGACCCAGATACACAGCGTGGCTCCTCCCTTTAAACGTGAACTATGGAAAACACTCCTCCTCACGTTGTTTAAATCTTCATCCAATCACTCATCCCTTGAAGCCTCTACCTCAACAACCCCATCTCTCTTTTCTCCACATGCTACAAATTTCATGTTAGTGCAAAATATTATTGCGGAAGGTTGTTTCTAATTGGTGACATTTTAGAAAAAGTATCCATCTAGGAATCCAGAGAAGCAAGCAAAAAAAAAAAACCTGCAAAGGCAAGAACCATAAAGATGTGCTATATCAACTGGTTACGTGGAAACAAGCATGGCTGCAAATAGCAAAATAACTTTGAGTTTAAGGTATAAAAAGTATGTTGGTGCACACCCTGACCCTAGCTAGCTCCTGAGGAGGCTGAGGCAGGAGATCTCAAATTTGAGGTCAGAGGGGTTACATAGCAAATTTAAAGACTGCCTGACTAATTTAGCAAGATCTTGTCTCAAAGCAGAAATCTAGCAGGGCTGGGGTTTAAGGCCAGTGGGAGAATACTTGTTTAGTATATTCAAGGCCCTGCGTTCAAACCCCAACACAGAAAAAAGGAGAAATCAGTAAAACAAATAACCAAGATATACTGAGCACGGCACCATATTTTACTACATGAAGTTCTAATAAACTGACATCAGTAAAAAAAAAAAAAAGTATTATTGCGGTATATTAGAGAAAAATCTTACAGAATTTAAAATACCGAGTAAAAGTTCCAAAGAGGATCTGGCCCATTCATTAGCTGGACCGTACTGTTCTACCTTCAATCGGACAACAAAAGCAGGGAAAATGAGAAGATCTGTGTTCCTAAGAGGGTGTGGGGGTCAGCACAACAGAATTCCTTTGTTTACCTGGCTGCTTGGCCAACACAGGCAAATTAGTTGAACATAACTAAAAGAGAAAATAATGGGCAAAGTACAGCACCAGCCAAGCTAGAAAAGGAGTGAGATCTTATCTTAGCAGGCTGTTTTTAAACACTCTCTCTCTCTCTCTCTCCCTCTCTCTCTCTCCTCTCTCGATATATATACATCCCAAGATGACCTTGAATTTCTGATTCTCATGTCTCTACCTCCAAAGTTCTGGAGTTACAGGTTTGTGACATCACATCTGATTTATGCATGGCTGGGACTTGAACCTGGGGCTTCTGACATCAAATTAGCACTGTAAAAGGGTTAGTTTAGCTTACAAAATATGTATACATATGTTGCTTCATGGTAATATGATAGACATAATAATTATTAGTTACATTGTTTTGCAAAAGAGGAGAAGATATATACAATGACCTAATTTCCTATTTTTATGCTGTGTACATGGTACCAGGGATGGTGCCAAGACCTTCAGCAAGCCCAACAAGTTCTCTGTTACTGAGCACTGCAGAGACTTCAAGTGTCCCTTGGTGGAGCTCAACCTAGTACCAGTCACACGGGCCTGCACTGGTTTTCATAATTTCTGGACTGGGGTATTCGTGATGAGCAGACCTGGGTTGAGAGCATAGGAGTTCTTGGCAATGCTAAAGCATATGAGCTATACTAATAAAGATGTATCATCCAACATTAAAGGCTCAATCCATATATATTCATTCACCAAAAGTGATTTTAACTATTTAACTTTCTTTAGTTATTATATAAAGAGCAGTTGTTATACAAAAACTGGTCAGAAACAGACAAAAGAGAGGAATAACTGAATAACTATCTGACTGATGATGAATAAATGTCTAAGACGTACAGGGGCCTTGAGTTTGACCTTAAATTAGTTATTTTTAGACTGAACAGAGGGAAGTTAAGTAAGTAATATATAGACGATTTAAAAAAAATACCCACACATCTGGATCACTGCACCACGCAAGTGACTAGGATGGGAGGACCAAAGCGATGTTCTAGAGATTAGTAACTGGAGCTTGGGAGAAAGGGATCTAAATTTGTATAGCCTGAGGCATGACTCAGGGGACATAATCACAGCCTATAAATACCCTCCGAGTGGCAAAATGTGGCAAATAAAGGGAGTGAATTATTCACCACCTTGCATTCCGGTCATTTCTCTTTGTCCAGTTGTCTGAGGAAGATGAAGCTTTGTACCTGAGCCGGTGTGATCCACAGAACTCAGGCAGCCAAGGACTCTCAACTTGAGTCCAGATGGAGACACAGGCAGAGGTTTCAAAAAGAGCTGCAGCAACTCAAAACAAACTCAACGACATTTTTAGGGGTTCCTGTCTCATAATGATTGTCTAAGCATCTTCTTTCTTTTTCTCTTCCCCTCCTTCCCTCTCTCCCGCCCTCCCTCCCTCCCTGTCTCCCTCCCTCCCTCCCTCTCTTCCTTTCTTCCTCCCTTCCTTCCTGTTTTCCCCTCACAAGTCTTTTGCACATGTATATGGGTCCCAGTGATGTGTTCCTGTGGGATTTATGTGTGTGTGCACGTGTCTCTGCATCTATGTGTCCCTTGTGCTATTTTGGGGTGGGAAGACCTCTTTTTCTTCTTGCAGTTTGTTTCCTTCGTCCTATTCTAGTTTGTTTGTTTTTATTTTATCTAATTTTTATAATTTTTTTTGATGCCTGTTTATATTCTAATGAGAGAGTGAAGAAAGAAAGGGTATGGATTTGGGTGAGTGGAGAATGGGGAGATCTGGGAGGAACTGGGAGGGAGGAAATAATAATCAGAATATATAATATGGGGGAAACCTATTTTCAATAAAAAAGTGGAATGGCTTACAAAAAAAAAGTATTTTTTTTTTTTTTTAAGAAGAACCATAGAGGACAGTGCACGTTTTAATCCCTGCACTTGGGAGGCAAAGGCAGGTGGATCTCTGTGAGTTTGAGGCCTGTCTGGTCTACAGAGTGAGTTCCAGGACAGCCAGGGCTCACAGAGAAATCCTGTCTCGACCCCCCCACCCCCCACTCACCACCAAAGAAGAAGGAGGAGAAGACGAAGAAGAAAAGAAGGACCACAGAAGTGGCCTTCCAGTGCTCTCCACAGGGTTAGGAACTGGACTGGAGAGATTCACAGCTCAATAGAGTATCTTTATTTTCTTTCCACTTCGATACAGAAAAACACAGAACAGAATTAAACCGCCCCCTACATTGGGTTTAAAAAAAGATAGAACATGAAAAGTGAAATGTAATACAAAGTGCTCGGCTTTCAGAAAATACCCAGGTTTAGAAGTGACAGCCATGGGCTCCCAGGCGGCAGGTCAAACCTCACACACGGTTCACAAACACGGTCTTTCTTGCCATAGACATATTCTGCTCCGCTTTACCCGGGAAACAACGTCAGGATATGTTTGGCCCCACTGACCCGCACAAACAGTGACTAATTTTCACCATGACGACACAAACAGGATGCTTCAAACGTCACCACTTTTCCACACATTCCTTCTAGAAGAGTGGAATTTTGAGAATTTGGGGGCTTTTTAATTAAACCTTGTGATACTTGCAAGCCACAAGATACTTCAAAAGACCTACCTGTTTCCAGCCATGGAGCAGTGTTCTAAGTTAACCAAATTGCCGGGCAGTGGCAGCCCCTGCAGAGAGGAACTTAAAGAATCAGGAGTTCTCCAAGCTGCAGCCAGCCTAGGTCATCCCGCATCCAAAAAGACAAACAATGTCCTCCCACTCCCAGACCAGTAGGAAACCATCTGCATTTAGCTTTACCAGGTACTGATTATCTGAGTGTAAATCTGTTAGCATGGCAACAAAAGCCCTGGATTGAGACTGGCTGCTACCTCAGGACATTTCCTGAGCTCAGGTTCTCTCTCACACAGCTTTCATTGCCGTACATGCATTTTACAGTGTGCCGGAGTGTTGGCCAAAGGCTACCTGCTGTGACCACGGCCTGCCAATCCCAGAACTGGTCCCTAGGTAGGAACCATGAGTATCCTGAGGGTAGTGCCAACCACAAAAAGACCATCTGGGGTTGGTTTGTTTCTAGGCTCTCAGCCATAGTAGCTTCCTTCATGTTCCAAATTCCACATGGCCATCTTTTTCCCAGAAGGTGGCCCAAGGGCACTTCTGTTGAAACTGTCTCTTTGTGACACCATCACTTACCAGAAAGTAGGCGCTTTTGCTAACGACGATAAAAACAAACACACTAGACCTTGTATAGGTGCCATAGAGTGAAGACGGAAGGCTCACCACATTCCCACGACGCACACAAGCACACAAAATGTCGAAATGTGTGGCATGTCCTTCCTTACCAATGTTTACCACAAGCACAAATGAGCAAGCAAGAGCTGCTGGGACAACATCCCCAAGGAGAATTTAGCAGAAATTCAACTTCCATCAAATGCTCCTTTGAATTGGCGGAGTTGGTCAGACCCAATATTAACAGGGAATTGTGGAAAATTGAGGACAAAGGGCTTAAGCTTACTGGGAAGGACAGGCTGGGTCTGAACTCCTCTGGAAAGTCTGGCTAACTAAAAGTGATGTCTTTTGTGCTGGAATCTTTCTATCTAAAAGCTTTTAAAAGGCTGTAATTATTTTGAGTTTCCAATTCAGCTCTTTTCAAATTAAGCCTATTATTTTCTTCAGGGCTCTGCACCCGTCCCTCCGTGTGAACTCGGGCATTTGCCAGGCACTGGGATGGCAAATTCATATTGGTTTTCTATACATATCCATTCCCAGCAAGTTCTACACAGCTTCTGCATCCTCTATGCCAAGAAAAACAAAGAAACGTTTGCACATCCAAACCTTTATCTTGCGCACAGAATCCCTGGGCATGGCAGGATAAATCAGCTAATAAGCAAAGGCTGGTAAGGGCCCAAGCTGGTGCTTCTCTTCAAGGGTAAAACCAGGCAATGCCAGATCTCAGACTTACCTTGTGGCTTCTGGGTCCCAGATCACAATGTCAGCGTCGGAACCGACAGCTATCCTTCCTTTTTTTGGATAAAGATTAAAGATTTTGGCTGCGTTTGTGCTGGTAACGGCCACAAACCTGTTTTCATCCATTTTACCACTGTGCTGTAAACCAGTAAGAAAAGAGGCATTTGCTGTGATGACTGAACACTCAAGCCTCCTCTGGGGATACAAGGGGAAGGATTACATCTATGAACCCTAACAGAAAGCCATACCTGTTTATCCATATAGAACTGTAACCCACATCCTACATCAAGGAGCTACATCTCTGCAGGCTCACTGCAAACCGTCTGCAGCATCAGTGATGAAGACGGTGGCCTACAGAAGCCTGAAGGTGTCTTTTCAAAAGTCCTATCCCATTAAAAGGCAAACCGACCACTTCCTTGCCATCTACCCCCATCACCCAAGATGACACCACACGATGGCTAAAGGACCGTGGCGTTTTCCTTCCCCTTTGAAACCTTCTACTACCACCTACGATATTTATGGTCTGCCTTACTTATTGCAGACCTGAGATCTGTGAGATGATCACGTAAATATTAGGCAAAATACTAAATAGTCAAAAGAAGATAGGCTACAATGCCTTTGAATTAGGTGGCTAAGCCTTTGGAAGATAAAAGATAAGTATAAGAGGTACAATTTTGTTCAGTTTAAATTTATGTAACCAGAAATCTTGGAAAGTCTATTTTTAAGAAGTTTTAATATAGAACCCTTATAGGGCTTATATATGTATATGATAAGACTTTCCTTAAGATTTAGTTAATTATTTCTAATAGTTCCAGAGGCAAATTATCTCGTTGTTTCAGAAAACTATACAGTTTTATGCATGTTATTGGGAAACATTCAATTATTTTAAAGATCATGTTTAAAGATATATATATATATACACACACACACATATATATGTAATGGGAACTAAAATGGATTATGAAAATCTGCCATTCTAAGGATATTTACTGTAATAACACAAGTCTATGGAGGCAAGTTGGATTATAATCTAGACTATTTAAGCCAGGAGAAAGAGAGGGGCATCATCAGGGATGCTAGAGGTCCCAGTGGAGAAAGGAAAGGTCATGGAGGAAGAGCAACAGCAGTTACAACTAGAGAGGTGTTCTGAAGACCCTTATACTAAATTGATGGCGTACACACTGCAATTCAGTCATGGACAACACGCAAGTGTTTTTGAGAAGCAAGTCACATGAGCAGAGCTTCACTTCTGAGGAGCAACTCCAGGACAGAACAGACAGGAACAACTGGTCACTGAGAATAAGGAAACCAAGCTTGAGACTATTAGGATGGTCCAGACAAGATTTGAGCCTTCAATCAGATGGTACCCATGTATGCAGGAACGAAGATGGATTCGATGAATGATGAGTGTGTTGACTAGTGTTATGTCAACTTGACAGAAGCTAGAGTCATGTGGAAGGAGGGAACCTCAAATAAGAAAATTTATTCATTAGATCTGGATGTAGGGCATTTTCTTAATTAGGGATTGATGGGAAGGCCCTAATCCATTGTGGGTAGTCCCATTCTGGGCTGCTGGTCCCAGGTTTTATTTTTTAAAAAAGCCATCATGAGCACACCGGTAAGCAGCACCCCTCCATGGCATCTGCATCAGCTGCTGCCTCCAGGTTCCTGCCCTGCCAGCCTCCTGCAGTGATAGAATGTGTATGACGTGGAAGTGTCGGGCAAATAGACCCTTTTCCTCCACAACTTGCTTTTGGTCACGGTGTTCATCACTGGAGTTGAAATCCTAACAAGGTCAATGAAAAATAGAAGTGGTAGTAGATGTAGGAGAAACCCAACGAAGAGAATTCTCAAGTGTGAAATATGATTAATGTATCATCTGTGAGTCTTTGAAAAGTATGATACTGGGAGCCTTGGGTCTACCAAGATCCTATAGATCTTTATAACTCCACACATCACATGGATAGACAGCTTAACACAAGACGTCTGTCTGTGTGATCTGCTCCATCCTTGGGAAAAAATTATTAATTCTTCATTTATTATTAGTTTTAAAAATCATTTTGTTCATAGATTTCATTATCTGTATAACTTCAGACAACAAATTTAATATTCTTCACATAATCTTCATCATCAGTTCAAATATTGACATTAATAACACATAAAGAACAACCCTAGCTGGACCCAGTGTAAATTGGTGCCCAATGTATCCACCAATGGCAAATGATGTAACCATCTTCTGAGCTGAACTAGGAGGAGAGATCAACTGTTTGCTGATAATGTCCTGGAAGTGGGAAGGGATGAAGCTGATAGCGACAGTGTGATTCCCAGTTGAGAGACAGAGACAGAGACAGAGAGACAGAGTGCTTGCTTCTATGAAGGTCTGTGCCTCTTTGGTGAACCAGGCTCATTCCTGGGAAACTCACCACGCCCTTTTCCCATATCACGGACATCCGGTCCTCTACACCGTTCACCCCATTGGGGATCTTTGTGAAGTCGTCTTTCCCCAGAGCTTTCTGGCAGGTGTTGAAAGTGCAGTTATCACTCCCTGTTGTGGTCAGATCACCACTGCAGAGAACGGAAAAAGAGAGGAAGAGAATGATGAGGAGGCGAGCAGACAGGAGGCGACTCTCTGGTGTTTCTTAACCTCTGACCTCCGAGCGGGAAGTCTTGCAGTGGGAGGGGCCATGAGTAGGACTTCCAGGTACCTGTCTCCCCTCTCATCGGAAGCACTTTTCAAGAACACACTCCTAAGGATTACGATGCAGAATCCTCAGCAAGCCTGTCTTTTACTGTTTTTCAATTTCCCAGGCTAGCTGGAGGAAGACGACTAGCTCGAGGAAGGAATGAGACAAGAGAGTACATGCTGGACTCTGCACCCACAGTTAGGAGCCCAGTGACTGTGAGCTAGAAACTGATTGTTGCCTGGACCTGACAAAGCTAACCACAGGGTCACTAAGAGCAGTGTAAGTAGGGTTTTTGTTTGTTTGTTTGTTTGGAATACAGACGTGTGAAGGAGGAAGGAATTAGAGAAGGGCAACTGCTTTAATTAATTAATTAGCTAATTAATTAATTAATTTTGGTGTGTAAATCTCCCCATTAACTTAAATCTGGGGACACGTGAATGGGGCATGCTAGGATGTTCAGAATGACTAGGAAGGGCTATTGTCTGTACAACAACCTAGTCCCTTGATTGTATCAGCCTAACATATTGTAAGTCCGGTGTTTTCAGCTCCCCAGATACCATGGGTCAAACAGCAGAAGACCAGAAGGGTCCGTGGAAGCTGTGGTTATAGGGTCAGCTCTCCCCAACCCAAAGATGAGACTTACAAAGGATTATCTTTCACCCAAATACTTTTCATCTGAAAAATTATTACTTCGCCAACAGGTTCACGAGAAAGCCAGGAGTTGAAGGATCAGGTCTCAGCGGAGGACCCATGACGTGGTGGGCTGCGTGGTGCCATTCTTTACTCCAATAGTGTGTGCCGTCCGTGCCGAGTCCAGCCGCAATTGGCTCTCCGTAGACCACCTTCCCTGGAATGCCCAAAGGTAGGACTCAGCCGTTTTAACGCACTTTAAAGAAAGCCATCTGACAAACGCAGAGATTGCCTTCTCTGTCCCAGTCAGGGATGATACTATAGCTTAACCGTTTCGTGACCAGGGCTTACTAGTTAAAGAGTAATAATTATTGAGCATCCACTGTGCTAATTCTCCTAGTCACTGACATCAGGCTGGCTGCTTGCTTTGTTTTGGTCAATCGGATGGATAAAAATGCCATGTTCTGCCTCCAAGCCTGGGCTATGAAAATGGTCTTGGATTCTGCTCCCTCCTTTTCCTCTTCTGTCATAATGCTGGGAGCCGAGTGGGTGCCACAGACAGAACAGGTTATCTATCGGAGCCAGAGCCCACCCGCGATGGACACGCGCGTGAGTGGGAAGAGGAAACAAACCTCCAGCTGCGAGCCACTCCTATTTAGGCTCCACTGTTGCTAAAGCATAACCCAGAGGATGCTGGAGGCAACACGTGGCTTCTTAGTGCAATCTGAAGACCCTATGGGCAAATACTCTCACTATCTCAATTAAAGATAAAGCTACAAGATCACATAATTTCTCTGCAGCTACTTTATATACACTGTACAGAGGTGGGGTGGAGGAAGTAGGATTTGAACCCAGGAATTTTGAATCAGTGGTCTCAACTTCTATGCCTTGTAGCCAGACAGCAGGCTACCATTAATATAGCCATACGGATTCCAACCATGGTGTTTCTCTGCTGCAGACCAATTGGTGACCTTTCCATACCCTCAAAAGGAACTTTCTCAGAAGACTCGTGTACAATAAAAGAACACTCAGATAATAGAACTGTAGCCCGAAATGCACACTTAAAAAATCATGCAAATGAGGCTATCCATAGCACACAATGTTAGAAAACTTAATAGTGCACAATGAATTTGAATTTAAAATCAGGTTCCTTATCTGATTAGCATTTGTCAGAATAATAGATTCACTGGCATCAACCTCATCACATGCAAGCAATCAAAAAAAAAAAGTGTGTGGCGAGGAGACGCTAGCATGCCAAATGAGCCCACTCTGGCTAATCGGAATCCACATTTTAGTTACCATCCAGATATATAACTAAGATTAACGGACTTCCTTAGGGAGCACACGGTGGCTGGACACCAGCTGCCGAGTCTTCTAAATGGCAATGCGGCACCCCGTTATCTTACAGACCCATCCGTCCTCCAAACGACTCCCTTCCTCCAGTTAGCCTAGGAAGCAGAGACATAGAAGAACCAGGCTTGCTGAAGCCCAGCTTCCACACCATGGTCCCCCGTGAAGCCAAACCCCATGGATAAACTTGACTTCTGTGATACGCACAACCCCACCCCACTCCAGGTCCTCACTGCCCGGCTTTCAGACAAGAGAAGCAACTTTAGCATCTCTCAGTGGCAAGTGGGAGAAATGGCAGTCATGGGTGGTGAGCTAGGAGGTATG